TCAGTCTAGTTCCCAGGGAGATGAAATCGGGAGCACCAGAAAAGAGTGAACCGCTCGGCTTGTGGAATGGCAGGTAGAGGCTGGGGAGCTCCCTTTATGGACTGGCAATGGTGACAGCAGTCACCGATGAGAAATACGGCAAAGCCGTGTGATAGAAATAGCAAACCTGGATGGAAGGAACGGAACGTCACTCCAGAAGGAGGCTGCAGTTCAGGGAACCCAGGCAGTTATGGGAAGCTCAGGTTAATGGCTACAACATCCCCATCCGCAGTGGGAACGGAAAGAAGGAGCTGTCTGACCGATCGCTCAGCCATGTGGAGTGACATCATGAATGCTACCATTTGTGAGGAGCCACCCCTGTGCCAAGCAGTGTGACAATGGTCGATCACATGCTATTTTTTCATTGTTGCAATAGTCCTGAAAAACAGGAGAGGAGCACCAATATTTCCAGTGATTAAATAATCTGACCTGAGTGTGACAGATTTAGGAGGCAGTTAATGATTTCTACTACTCCATGCTCAGTAAAATGTCCCACATTTTCTCCATCTGGACACAAAGGTTGCAGGCAAAATTATTACAGTATGGCTGGACTTTGAGTGATGTCGTTATTCTCATACTGTATTGAATTCTGACCAACAGCACTTTAATGGGCTTTGGCTTCTTCAATCAAAGGTAGGATAAAACTACATCCTTTCCCTGCCTGTGGCTGCTCCATTCTGGGTTCTTTGTTTTCGAGGTTCTTTATGGCCCTTTTGGCTTCCATTTCATCCTTTTCTACTGGCCCCGTGTGCTGTCCCACATGCGTTACCACGTGGCTGTCTGGAAGGCCACCCATGGCTGCCAAAACCCTCACTCCAAAACACCTCCACTGTCCTTGACCTCTGAGGGACATTCAGAACTGTTGACAGTTCCCTTCTGTGAGACGCATTTTTCTTTTGGCTTCAGGAAAGTTTTAAGCTCTCGATTTCCTTCTTAGTTATGTGGCTCTTTCTTGGCTGCTTCATCTTACTTTATCTTCCCTGTAAATGTCAAAGTTCCACAGGGTCCAGTCCTCTGTGCCCATGATTTCAATTATTATCTATATGAGTACCAAATTTATATATTGAATCAGATCTCTGTTCTAAACTCTACTTCTGTGTCTCCAACTGTTTACTGCCTGCTGATCTCTGCAGATCAACATATGCAAATCCTAAATCATCTCATACCCACTCTCTTTATCTGCCCCAAACTGAAGTTTCCTTATCTCAGAAAATAACATCAGGGTCCTTCATTCCTTTTGTTATCAAGTTAATCAACACGGCATCTTGACTTCATGTATTAAATCTCCCTCAGATCAAAAGATTCCAAGTTCTTTGGGAACAGAGAGCAAATCTCTCACTTATGACAGTAAATTCAGTCTACTGCATGGTGTGCCAAGCAGAGAGTGAATGATTGGTAAAATTTGTGAACTAAATAAATAAATGAATAAATGATAGAATCTATTAATTTCTTACCATTTCCACTATTGCTCCTCCAGTAAAAGCTACTGTTAGTTCTCAGCTGAACTGCCCATTCCAGAAAGTTCTGGGGTGAGAGGGGGATTCAATGGGTGTTAACACATGTAAAACACTCAGTGCCCAGAGCACCCTAAGTCCTCCAAGAGGGCTGGTTGTCACCTGCAGTGGCCGCAGCAGGAGTAGTTGTGCGAGTTGGTAAGTGCCATAAGTAAATCCGTCATTACAGATTCTAAGGTATAAATGCATTCATTTAATTATATGATAGAAATATTTCCATCCAAATGGGGTGTTACCAAAAAGTATTCAAAAACTGAAAACTGTTGGAGACAATGGGAACTCTTACACACTGAGGGTGCGGAAAATGATGTGACTGCCTTCCAAAGGAGTTTGAAAAACAGCTTCTCAAAGGGTTAAATTTAATTAGTTCAGTAATTCCTCTCTAGTATGTATGAAAATAGATGACTGCACACCTCATCCATAAGCATGTGTTGTAGCACTATGTAGTAGACCCAAAGTGGACTCTGGGTCTGGTTCTGCTTCTTAAGCAGGTGGGTGACCTCAGGAGGTCCTCTCTCTCTCTAGGTCTTGGTTTCTCACACATACAGTGAGATTATTGTACCCCAGGGCCTTTAAAAGACCCCTTTCCTTGCTGATGTCCAATTAGTTTGCAATGAGGAAAGAGCCATGTTTCTCTGGTTCACGAGATTCTACAAAGAATCCATGAGCCTCGAACCTGCATCTGTCCATCTGAACTGCTCAGGTGCCACTCACTCACTGATGCTATTACTATGACTAACATTTATAGAGCCCACCATTTATATTGCAGGCACTGTGCCCAAGACTATCTGTATTTTGTCTTATTTCAACAGTATGAGGAGGACAACATTAGAGTTCCCATTTTACAGATGAGAATGTTGAGACACACGCAAGTGGTACGCCTCGCCCGAGGTCTCACTGTACACGACTGAACCTGAAAGCAAAGCTTGCACAGCATGGCTCTGTGGGCTTGTTTTCTACACTCAATGGAACGTGGAGTCTTCTCCATGTTTTCTTCTTGCCATCTTTTAACATAATGAGCACTGCTTCATTAAAGAATCCAACCTGGGACTCCTTTACATTGTGTATGCAGTTCGAAGTTCAAATTACCTCATTTTCTTTCATCTGGCGGGTCCAGTACAGTGCTCAGTGATGGTACCGAAAGATTGATTATGTAAAACACTTGAAGATAAGCCTGGGTTCCCTTCTCTTCCAACCAGGTAAATGCAACTGACGTCAGAGACAACACGTGATTTTCTACCCACAAAGTTGACAAAAACAAAACAATGAATAATATCCAATGGTAGCAAAGGAATAGCAAGACAGGCAGCCCCATGTGCCATCTCACAGTGCCAGCTAGCAGGCTCTAAGGGTGATGTGATCCAAGTTTAAGTCTCACAAACAGTTGAGCTCGGTTAATTCTTCTTTTGGGAAGGCAACATTTCAGTTCCCACTTTACAGATGAGAATGTGGATGGTCCTAACAGAAACATTGTATCCTATAAAAATATTACATGTTATATATACACACACCCTACATATATATGCATGTGTGGATGTATATGTCTGGTACGTCATTATGAGAGTAATGAATGGGAATGATGTAAACCCTAGCAATAGGAGAAAACTGAAACAGACCATAATAATCCATAGCATGGCACACTATGCAGTAAAGAAATTAAGTGCTTCTGAACCTATCAGCATACCTCTGAGACATATTTTTAAGTGGAAAAAAGAGTCTAGGTTCAAACCAAAATTCATAATTTGATTCTATTTACAAGTTTAAAATAATCTAATACCATTATGTTATTTATTTTTCTATTTAATTTCTCTGTGCATACTTCTGTAAAATTTTTATAAAACATTATGTGCAAGATCAACCTTAGTCAACGGTGATTATTTATGGAAAGAGAAGAGAATAGATTTGACTTGAACGTATGGGTCAAAAAGAAAATTTCACTTTTTAGATATGTCTGTTCTGCTTGGGTATTTTATTACTTTAGTAGTTAACTTCAGTAATTAACTTTAGCATTAATAAACTTTAGTATTTAGTATTATTTTAGTGATTAACAAATAAAAATGGGAGGAAATAAAAAGAAAAAAACCCAGCGTTTGGAGAGAATTGAGTGGCAACCGAACTAGATCCTCACATTAATGACTCGAAGCAGTAAATCAGATTAAAGTAGAAACCACAGCTAAACCTCTGTCTTCCCCGTCCTGGAGTGAGGCCATCTTTTAGTAAGCAATTCCCCCAGGAATGATCTTACAATTTGTTTTAGTCCACGAACAAGCTCTAGAATTATACAATGCATAACTCTCCTTGGATTGGTTAAAAAAAAAGAATTCCTGCTCTACTCTAAGATGCTAACCTGCATTAGAATAGTGATTGCCCCAGAAGGCCTGAATAAATCATCTCTCACTATAACCATTTTTTTGGTCAATAAAACTTTTCATGAACAAGTATATTCTACAAGGCAAAGATGATTTCATCCGTAATTAGCTGCTTGAGAATTCTGCCATTCATGCAAATCAAAATAGATGAGCCAGCCAGCATGTTCCTGACTCAGACCATAGGTCTCTCCCTTAGATTCCTCATTTTACCTTTGGTTTAGTGGCTGTGCTGTTGGAGTAGCAGCCATTCTGCCTGTAATGATTTAAAGTGCTCTTCTAATTTAATGAAATAAACTCAATGAGTTATGCCACTAGAGATTTGCCATCTTTTAAAAAAATTTTAGATGTACTTTATAATTATGCTAGCTAGGACCTAATAACTTCAACATTAATTATCAGGCTTTTATTGTTGTTGTTGTTTTGGCCAACACCATGAATTTGCATCTGCATTTCCAAAAAACAACAGAGCTATAGAGTCGGTTAAATTAGAGTTATAAGAAAAAAAAAAGTCAGTTAAAATGGCCATTGTTTTGTTTGCTTGTTTGTTTTTATTTTTACTCCAGTATTCATTTGTATCGAGGGCTTTGTTCTTTGTAATCCAGCTTTTCTACATCAAATCTTTTCTGCCATTTATGAGTTTTGTCTGGAATGTTTACTTGTATAACATTTAGGTATATGTCAGGCATGGCCTCAGAGAAAAGCAATACGATCATATTTCAAAGACAGACGGGGACCTGCAGGCACACCAGAAGAGACAGAGAGCTGTGGGCAGTGACTCGGTGGCGTTGAGCCGATCTGAGGGAGGTGCATCGGGACAGACACAGGGAGCACTGGATCTTTGTAACTGGGGCTCAGTTAACCAAGGAGAACGTGATTACCCCTCCCTGGGAGGTGGAGGGCAGAATGTGGGTGGGGATGGGCCACAAGCCATGGGGTCAGAGATTTGGATTCCTTCCAGAAGGAAGAAAACAGATTTTCATTCAATTTGAAAAGCCAAGTTGCTGAGGAGCAGGGGAGTGGGTCCAACGAATGAGACCAGGAGCTAAGCCCAAATCCTGAGAACCAAGAGCAGACTTACCTTCCGTAGCTGGAGATGGCCGTCAGTGCCCAGGGCCTGTGGGCTGTTCCCTAGGCTCCAGCCTGAGGCTGCCTGACCAGCTCTGTTTAGAATCTCTTCACCATGGTTCCCAACCGGAACTGGGAGCTCTGTGCTTTCCCTGCAAACACAGCTACTGGGTGGCAGGCCAGGGCGAGGCATTGGTCCTTGTGTGTGCAGGTGGTGCGCCTTCTGGAAATGGCATTTCAGTTTGGGAATTTTTCCCTGGGGAATGTAATGGGGCTGGTGCTTTGTGGTACACAGCATGGTTTAAAGCAAGGAGTTCAAGGCAGATAGCAGTAGGTTCAGAGTTTAGTCTTGGCCTTCATTCTTCAAATTCATCTTCATTCATTCATTCAATGTGTATGTATTGAGTGCCTACTGTATACCAGGAGATAGGCTCTGGGGTTATAAGATAACAAAAGAGAAAAATCCAGGACTGAATTCACAGTAGGGAAGACAGATCATCATCAAATAACCCCACAATTGAAAATGTCATCACAAATTGCAAAAATGTGACAAAGGGATGATCTCAGGAAGATACACATATATCAGAATGAGAGTGGGGGAGAGAATACATAGTCTGAGGAGTCAAGAGTATTTTCCTGGAAAACGAAGAAATCAGCAAAAATCAACTAGGTGAATGGGAGGGGAGGATTCTAAACAGGAGGAATAATAGCATGTGAAAGTCCCCGAGGTAGAGAAGTGGCATGTATGGATGTTTAGGGAAGAAGGTCCCACTGCTTAGAACATGGGAGGAAGAGGAAGACTCTTTTCAAGTGAGGCTTGTTCTTATTAAATTACAGGGAACTTCTGGGCCCGCAGTATTGTTGATAAGAGCATTCCCTGCAATCAAGCACCACACACTAACCGACCTTCTACGGGCCTTTGGATAAAGGAAAGCTGGGACAAGTGACATGGGAATTCTGTGTTCCTATAAAGGAGCTGTGGTAGCTCATTGTTGTCCCTTGGGTGGCCAGGCCTGCACGGTATTCTAATACCAACAGTCCCTGGTAGTGAACTCTTGACTATCCAGGGGCTGTTCAACAATTCACATGTATTATTTCCCTTCATCCTCTCAACAGCTCGAGGTGGTTGCTTATTAGGACTATTGACAAATATCCCAGGTCTCTCAGTTCCTGGTTTATGACAGGGACTTCCTACCTCCTTGAGTGGTGGGTGGCCACAGGACCAGCTTTAGCCCATCCTCAGTGAGGGAAGGTGAGGGTGTCATGCTGGAGTAGAAGGATTTAATTGCTGGTGCTTGAATTCAACCTTTCCATTTTTACCTGCCCCCCCAAGCCTTTCTCATTATGCAAATGTGTGTTTAAGTCAGTGATTCTCAACCTGGGGAAATTTTAGCCTCCAGGGGACATTGGAAATATCTTCAGGTAGTGTTTTATTGCAGTTGGGGAAGGGGATGCTTCTGGAATCTAGTCATTAAAGACCAGAGATGCTGCTAAATATCCTACAACGCACAGGACAGCTTCCACAACAAAGAATCATCTAGTTCAAAATATCAACAGTGCTGAGGTCAAGGACCCCTGCTCCAGATGGAGCCTTCCACTGCCACCCTACACTGAACATGCGTCACTGAAAAATGTGAGATGCATGTTACTCCAGCATAAGCTCATCCATCCTGGCTGATACAGCAGAATATTATTTCCGTTTTATAAATCAGGAATCTGAGATTTAGAGATGCAAGTAAGTTACCAAAAGCCACACAGCAAAACAGAGCTGAGACATATGCCCAGGTCATTTGGGACTCAAAAGCCTGTGTATTAACCACTCTATTAATGGTTAACCGTGTTGTAGTCACTCAGGGTCCTGTTCTCAGGCCTTAGGGGAGAACATCTTTGACCAAGAGCCACTGAACCCCTCCCCAGGGGAGAAGGTGGCCTACAAAATTGCTCCTGTTTGTCTGAGAGCTGTTTCTGGAAAGAATTCAAAAAGACGTTGAGAAACAGGTTTAGCTTATAGATAAAAATCTCAACATGGTAGTAATTTGCTTTTGCCCCCCATACTTTCTTTGTACATATACAAACCTTTCCCAGTGTCCTAATTCTAATGTCTTGGTGATATGACATTATCGCCAGTAAAATTTGAGTTCCTAGGCACTGTTTATTTCCCAGAACTCTAGAGTTGGGGTTCAAGTATCAGTTCTGCCCTGTACTAGCTGTGCTCTCTGGGCAAAATCACTTCACCTCTCCACGCCTCTTTGGTAAAATGAGAAGGAGTTGCAGTGGTATGATTCTCACAGGATTTTCAGAGGCATTTAATGATCTAATATTTAGAGGGTCACATAATAAGCATGTTATAGGGATTTATTAAACAAATGAGGTTTGGGGTAAAGGACTGAAATAGGAGATGTTAGAAGAAAAGAAGTCCTACTTGCCATCTAAGATGGTTCAATGCCATTAAGTGTGGAATCAAAGTGCCACTAGTGTGGGCTGAGGTTGTAGCTCAGTGGTACAGTGCTTGCCTCACACATGTGAGGCCCTGGGTTCGATTCCACAGCACCACATAAAATAAATAAATAAACAAATAAAAATAAAGATATTATGTCCATCTACAACTAAGGAAAAAAAAAAACAACAAACAAGTGCCCTAGTGTGCAGTGGCAGTCAGCGTACCTGGGGGAGGGTGAGAAGGTTACTCAAAGGAACTACAGCTTGGCCAGGTCTTGGGGGATGTATAGGAGTTGCCAGGTGGACCCAGGGTGGAGCCAGATAGGTGGCTGCAGTAGAAAGTGATGGAGGGCCCAGGACAAAGACATGTCTGGGTAACGTGGAGCAATCACCCTGGGCCGACTAGATCAGAGGTGTGAGAGGAGACACCACTAGCAGACTCTTTGGGGGTCGGTTTGGCTACTGAAGAATCTTGACCATCATGAAGAATTTTGCATAGAAGTTCTTGACAAAAGTTCTTAAGTGCAGACCCTTAAAAAAAAAGGAAAACAGAACCAGGCACACAAGCTGGGGAAGTGGGAGCATCAGGGAATAACTGTCCGGAGTTCATTCAGATATCATCTAGCAAGACCTGCCCTGCAAACTCACTGTGGTGTTGACCCCTGAAAACAAGGAGTCTTAAAAATGGCCGGTTAGCTGTTAGGTGAGGTGCATATAGAGAAAGCTATTCTGACAAGCTCTGAGCCACCAAGCTAGAGGACAGAATCTCCAAATCTCCATTTATTTCCTAAGTTCTTGGGCATCCTGAATCTTCACTGGGTCTCAGGTAACTCAGGGCTGGTCACAGAACCCCAGCCTTCAGTTTCTGCAATGCCAGCCCAGCCAGCAAGCTGGCTCCAGGGTCTTTTCAGAACCAATCCACTCTCGGCCAAGGCTTCTTAGATGAGAGGAAACCAATATCTTTCAACTATCATTTGACAATCCAGGTTCTTGCAACCTGGCATTAAAGACATGGAGAACTCTGCCCCCTGAATTTTATTTTAGTTATTTTCTTTGGAGCCAGGCCTGAGGCGTGTGCAGAATCAAAGTTTCCCATGATGCTCTTGGGGGCCAGCCAGAAAGGGAAGTGGTATTTCAATGGTACAAATCTCACTTATCTCTCTGCTCAGGATTCCTAGGGAAATGTCCCCAGATTTAGTCACTTAAGAAGGCTCTCAATAAAAATGATTACTACACTAAACCACAACCAACATTTATTTTTCACTCATATGTTCCCAAGTGTTCTCCCTGGAATTCATAGTTACTCCTTTCCAAACTCCAGAGAGATGAGTTGTTAGGACCACATGGTTCTAGATGAGATTTTTAAGGAGATGTCAATATTATCATTCCTGAGTGGGAAGAGGATGCGGAGGTGTGAAAAAGGGAAATACTTGCCAAAGTTTCACATTTAAATTGTGATAGTTCTAGGATCAGAAATGGGGACCTAAAATTCAAATTGCCTATCCAAGCTGCTCAAGGAAAATGAACCCACCAATTAATTTAGTGTTCTCATTGTTTGGCAGTTAGATCCACCTACAAGCCTTAGTGTTTGAAGTCAGTTGGGATCTTGAGAGGGGTGTGGTTCTCTGGTGAGAGGAATGAAAGCCAAAACTTACTTTTGTACACAGATTGCATAAATTGCATTCAGCTCCCCCACTGATTTCCTAAGACCAACCTCACTGAACATGATCCTAAGAAGCATTCTGGGGGAGGGCAGAACTAGAATCACTGACCACCATTTTCAAAGGCACAAAAGGAATTGGTAAAGCTGAACTTTTTAGAGCACAGGTAGGGGGTTCTTCCTGGTTGGAATACTGGCTATGTCACCTAGGCAAGGTGTCAGAGGTCATCTGTAAAAAGGGATGAAATATGAACCTCTTTGTGGAGTTGCTTGGATGATTAAATATGACACTATTCCTAAATACTATATTATCAATATTCTTAGCTCAGGATCAGGCCCAGAGTAATCACTCGACGGATGACAGATGCTGTTGATATTGCCATTGTCACATCTAGAGAGTTTCCTAACCCCAGTGCTCCTGACCATTGGGGCCAGATCATTCTTCCTTGCAGGGGCTGTCATGAGCACTATAAGGCTTTTAGAAGTGTCTTTGCTTTTACTCTCTAGATTTCAGTAATACTATAGCGACCCCTTCATACCTCAGCTGTGACAACCAACAATACCTGTAGAATTCCCAAAAGTCCTTTGGGGGAGGAAGGCAACATGTCTGGTTGAGTAGCACTTGCACACTTCACTGTGATGTTGTTATTCTCTGTGGTGCAAACACACACACACACACACACATGCACACACACAGCAAAACCTTCTAAATTAACTGACATACACACAAACAAAATAAACTCAAGCAGTAAAGGCAGAGATAGGAAGAGAAAGAAAGAGTCACTGGAAGAAAGGAAAAGATGGAAGGAGGAATGTTATGTGCGAAGTTACTGGATTGACCACTAAGGCCAAATATGTCACTCACATGCCTTAGGGCAGTGTGCCAGGGCAGCTGACACTCCCTGGGCCAGTATGCATCCTTTTGATCAGACTCTACCCCTGCGAGTCCTCTGAGCCCGCACAGATCCGAGTCTGCAGAGGGC